CTGGCTAAGCTGTGTGATACATATTAGAACAATGAATAACAATTATAAACAGCAAGAGGTTTGCCAGAAGTAAGAATCATAAATATTATTAAATAATAAACAATTTCTATATCATCATTTGGGACTAGGAATAAATGGGTATAATGTTTACAGAATTTCTTCACAATGGACAACTATTCAGTCATTAACAATTAATCACATTTAATGAGCTGCAGTGCAAGCATTTTCATGTCTTATATTTATGATCTGATCTAAGAAATATAGAATAATATTTCAAAATGCAGCACTGTGTATGTTTACACATGTGAATAAGCATTTTTTTTGGAAAATAGTACATTCATTAAATTTACATTCTGGCTATTGTTCCTTTCTGGATCATTTAAAATTTGTTTATATTAAAAGCAACTATGATAAGTTAAACACACATTGTGGTCTTCTTCTTCTACTATGTTCATTGTCTGTAAGCTCTGGCAGAAAGTCCTGGCTGTTTGCCTATTTGGACCTTGGCTTTGTCCCAGGGTCTGAGTTTTGTATGTACATCCATTTCACTGGCTTATGTGCCGGTTGTTATTTATGCTACTGGGGCAGATGCACTACAACTTTAAACTAGGTCACCAATTAGTCAACTCCTACAAAATGCTTGTGGGGGAGGCAGGGGGTCTATTCTTGCTTTCTGCCAATGGGGCCCCAGAAACCAAACAGAAAAAAAAGTGGAGTTTCATTGAAAGGTATACAATGTTTTTTAAACCTCTACAGGCAGGAACAGTTGGAGTCAGCCAAGTAAGAAGTAGGCTGCAATTTCAAAGACAGGAAAAAATCAAGAGATTTTGAAGTTAAAGTTGAGTCAAGAATTGATATCACAGCACTCTGGACATTCACATGCACACTCTATCCTTATCTTCAGCAGCCAGTGCAGAGTTCCAATACTATTGTAACCGGAAAAAAAAAAAGTTAAAGTTAAGAGGATCAGCTTCATTGCACCAGTGTTGCGCGCTGATTTGGGTAAAGTGTGATAATGTGTGAAGAGACAGTTGTATGCCAGTACTTTCTGTAAGTTCAGCAGGGGAATAGTGTCAACATGGTCCGAGTATTGAGAGGAGACTAGTGAGAATGTCCATTCATGAACAAGGCATGCACGCACGAGAGAAAGTGGACGCGTGGGTTACTTTGTGGGGGCTGAAAGCATGGCTAACGAGATAGAGAAAGTGTGAATTAAGTGACAGCGTGATTCTCAGGTAACATCAGCCACCCACATAGGTGTGATCCTCGAGAACGCCCACACGAGCGTGAGTCCCGAGAACACCCACGGGATCATGAATCACGAGAACACCCATACAAGCGTGCCTCTCGTGTAATCATGTTCCACCTTCACGGATTTAAGGGGGATAAATTAAGAGGGCTGGGAGGCAATCGAGAAGCAGTCGAGAGAGAAGCGAGAAGAGAGAGAGAGAGAGAAAGCGAGAGTCAGAGACCAAGTCAGGGCTCATGATATCTCTCGCGAGTCTAACAGACAAGAATACCGTACGACTATCAGGCATTGAGGTATGAATGAGTGTCGAGGTTGCGGTACTGAACGAAGATATGGTCCCGCTGGCAAAGTAAGTCCAGGGGATAGAAGGCTCCAGTAGTACCTGTTCTGGGTGACGACGTAGTGAAACGTAGGAGGACCACTACTGAAACAGAACAGGGGTGAGTGGTACCGACGAGAGCTGTGTGCTAGAGGGGACTTATGGTAGAAGTCCTGTCGGTCATCAGAGCCCTGCGACAAGCTGACGACAGCTGTGTGTTTTTGGAGTACGGCAAGGGAAGTCTGCCTCAAGTCAGCCGTGTTGTATGCTGAAATAATATCAAGGTCCAGTGAATGGGAGAATTTGTCCTGTTCAGCTGTACCGCGTGTCCAGAATGTGAGATGCTGTAGTCCTTGGAGCTGTAGTAGTCAAGGAGAGGATGCTACAAATTGAGAGAGAGAGAAAGCGAGTGAGGACAAATGGACGATGTGCGAATGTCAACTGTGATCAATAACTACGTCTATGCATTTGTGTCCCATATCCTGTTAAATAAAATGTATGACAGTGTCATCGTCGTCGAGTTATATTTCTAAGAGAGGAAGCTGAAGGGTACCTGCTAGACACCTGGTAGTGTGCTGACTAGTGGTAACTCATTTAGCACACAACAACCAGGTTTTATCACAAAGAGATGGATGTACAACCAAACGAGGAAACACAGACTGTTCAAAGCAGTCACCCTTCATTGCACCTGACTCACCTCCTTGCACTTGTCTTAACCTTTCTTTATGAACCTGTTTATGGCCAAAATCACCCTTGTAAGCTTCACAAAGTTTATCAAATAACAATTCTGGTATTTGTGACAGGATTTCTTTACATGATATGGCCTCACAAAAAAGTATCTTAGACCTGTTTCAGTTGATAATAGTGTATCTGACCGTTGGTTATTTCTGCGAACTGTTTACTTAACAGAGACTTTACTTGTCAGAGACAGAAGGATTGGTTATGCTCCAGGGTGGCAAAATAGGTCTGCATGCTTAACCTATAGCAATGCCAATCTCACTATATATGTTTAAACATAAAAAAACTATTATGACATTAACTGGTTTAACATCTGAAACTGCAGGGGAAAAAAACAAATAGTTAGTTAACATGAGAATACAAATAAGGGAAAACATATAATTTGTTTAAAACATGCTTCTGATTATCCGACCTAATCCAGTACAGAAATTTAAGTATCTAGGCACATGGATAACATCCGATGGAAGATGTGTCACAGATATAAAGAACAGAATAGGACAGGCCAAAACTGCATTTTACAAAATGAAGAATATTTTATACAAGAAATCCATGTCATTGGAGGTTAGGTAAAGAATTTGTGCATGCTATAAAGAGCTATTTTAACATACGGCTGTGAATCCGGGACAATTAATGAACAAGCCGAACAATATCTTGGAGATGTTGTTTCAAGGAAAAAACCTTAGAATTTCTTGGACAGCAAAGAAGAGCAACCCAGATGTTTCAAAAGAGGCAAATGCTCGAGGACAACATATCACAAACATCAGAAAGAGACAATCATAATTTTTCGGTAATGTTATGAGAAGTGGGAAAATGGAACATGCTGTGATCACTGGAAAGATCTGTGGAAAGAGAGACAGAGGAAGACAGCGTGAGCAGATTCTTAACAATCTTTTGTCACAGCATGGAGGGGTGTCAACACACAAACTGATACAGGCAGTTGCAGATCACAGATTGTGGAGAGGTATGATCGCCCATCCCAGTCGGCAAGGCACTGGATGATGATGATGATGAATCCAAGGTAAAATAAACAAGAGTTAGAGCACTGACGAACTTATTTACTGAAAGTTTTCAGCTTAACAGGAAGTAAAACTTTTGCAAACTATATATATTTTAGAAAGCTTTGGTAAAAATACGTACTTGTTGGTGGTGGCACCGAAAATACTCCTGAAAAAAAAAAAAAAAAAATGTAAGTAAGAAATGTTTCATTATTTCAAGTTTGTACCCTCATGGAATTAATGACACCATGTATTTTCTTCATGACATAATTTATCTGGGTGGCCAATGATATTCTTCTTCTCCCTTTTCTCCAACTAAACGAAAACTGAATGTGTTAAACGGACGCTGATGATATTATCCATTAAGTACTGAAGTGGTACAAATTTAACTATTCTTAGCATCCTGAAGAATGTAGTTTGCCATAGTTTTCATTCTTGACAGTTACCATACTCATTGGATGAATTTATTTCATATTTTTATGACATATTATGAGGAAGAATGGACTTAAGAACTTGTTGACAACTGGCAAGATTTATGAAAAAAGAATCAGGAGAAGACAAGGATAAGACACATTTTTGGGTGGCATGGTAATATTGCAAAACAAGGTCTAATCCATGATCCTGTGTGAGCTGGTGGAAAATGGCCTGATCCATGATACTAGTGATTGTGTGCGATGGTGAAACATGACATAGTTCATGATCCTAGTGATTGTGTGAGATGGTGAGACATGGACTGATCCATGATCCTAGTGACTGTGTGCGATGGTAAGACATGGACTGATCCATGATCCTAGTGATTGTGTGAGATGGTGAGACATGGACTGATCCATGATCCTAGTGACTGTGTGAGATGGTGAGACATGGACTGATCCATGATCCTAGTGACTGTGTGAGATGGTAAAATATGACCTGGTTTATGATCCTAGTGACTGTGTGAGATGGTGAGACATGGACTGATCCATGATACTAGTGACTGTGTGAGATGGTGAGACATGGACTGATCCATGATACTAGTGACTGTGTGAGATGGTAAAATATGATATGATCTGTGATCCTAGTGACTGTGTGAGATGGTGAGACATGGACTGATCCATGATCCTAGTGACTGTGTGAGATGGTGAGACATGGACTGATCCATGATCCTAGTTATTATGTGAGATGGTGAAACATGATATGATCTGTGATCCTAGTAATTGTGTGAAACTGTAAAACATGACAACCTTGGTTTATTTGCAAAGAGCAGATATGATATAAACACAGACTAAAGGAACCCTTTAATCTCTTTAGAAAATTATATATACAGAGCTAGATCTATAACTATGTTGGCCAATCAGGACTTGATTTTACAATCTTTAATTCCCAGGATATTACCTGGCACCCATTTTGTCAGCAGACATCATGGCTTAGCTGTAAACCACGACACAACATTTTAATTTCCCTTTTAAGAGCAAATGTAGAAAAACTAGAAGTTTAAATTCATACTACCTAACTGAATTCTTGTTATCTATAGTTGTCAGTGTATACATAATGTCTAGTTATATATTTGAATCAAGTGCAGAAATGCTGCTCTTACTTGGACATGCAGAAGCCAGAAGAATATCATCAACATTCTCCAGGTCTTCAAATGTTTCAACTTTGAAGCTGTTTCTGCTGGCAGGTGGTGATGCAATCCCGTCAAGCTCTCGGTAGTCTGTCAGACCCACTCCAATGCTGAAGATGTGAATGCCTTCATCATGAGCCTCAATAGCTCTGCGGATTGTCTCTTCAGATGATTCGGAAGACACACCGTCTGTATAAACATGAACAATCAAGCATGTTGAGGAAGAACTTAGTGTAAAACTATAATCAAGATTTAAATGAAACAATTAAAAGGCATTTCATTACAAAATAAAAGTACAATTTATAACTTTCAACTCCTTTAGGCCATTTTTTTTAAAGATCCCGATTTCCTAAGCAGTGTTTGCTGATCTTTAGGTTTTATGAAGTTTCAATAACAACACTACAAGTCAAAAAGAGAATAATTACTATATGGGATAGAATGGGTTAACGTTATAGCTAGAAAGGGTACAAAGCACTCAGAAAAGTAGAAACATCAAGTAAATTTAATAAACACTTGCTGAGTTGCATTATTTAATGCAAAAAAGAACAACACATCTGTTCAACAAGAACTCAGTCAAAAAACGAACCAAAAAAAAAAAACAGTTTATCGAGACATTTTATTAAGACTGATGACAATGAAAAAAAAAAAAAAATAAATAAAAGAATTGGCATATGAAAATACAGGAAGATCTGGAAAAGATAATAATTGAAAGAGGAATTCTAGGAAAGTGAAGAAAAGCTCTGATTTTTGTTCCTTCAATGACTGAGTATGAGTCCATGACTCACCTTTAGATATAAATCATGGACTCATACTCAATCACAGAAGGAACCAAAATCAGCTTTTGATGGTACAGAAAAATTCTCAGAACACTATGGATCAAAAAGAGAAAAAAACACAGACATCTAACATAATCCGAGCACTGAGGAGAACTGGCCCACAAACAGCATCCTGTACCAGAAGCTTAGGCTTTTTTTGGCTATGTTAAATATCATGGTAGCCTAGAGAGAATTGTGATGGAGGACGTAGTTTCTGGGAAACGAAGCAGAGGCAGACCAATGGAAGTGGATGAAGATGCAATGGTAATAAAAACACATAGACTGGAGAATGGGCTACAGAAAGAGAAACTTGCATGTGTAGCATGGTGGCAGCAATGTTCTATAAAAGATCTACTGACTGATGATGATGTAGGAGAAGAAGGACAGAGTATAGATAGATTCAAGATGTGTTAGATAAATTACACATCACAGCGACAGAGGTGGCCATCTTTATAATTAAGTGTTTTGCTGATCGGTATTGGTGATAATGCCTTCAGTGCATTCAGTCTCAATAGAAATGCATTAGTTTATGTGCTGGTACGTTTCCATACAAGGACACACAAGATGCCAGGGTTTTTGCTCAAGATATCTTCCTCTATCTCTCTTTCCATTTATTGTTTCCACTGTCACAGCATGTTTCAGTTTTTTCCTTCTTATAATATTTTTGGTTATTTGCAACTATGAGCCTCTTTTAATTATAGTGGAAAAGTGAAAAATACAATGGAATGGACATAAAATAAGATCTAATGGCTTCTCAAAAACAATACAGCAGGGTACAGCAGAGGGAAAGAGGAGAAGAGGCAAACCAAGAAAGACCTGGTTACAGAACCTGACTGACTGGACAGGTCTCAGACATGCAACCATGAAGTCCATTGCAACTGACCGCCAAAGGGGGAGAGAGCTGATCAGACAGTCAACTGAAACTGGTGACCCAATGACATTCAGTTTTATGGGATGATGAATGATGAATAATGTTTTGGGTGATTGTCTCTTTTTGATGTTTGTTATAAGTTGTCTTCAGACAACATCCTTTAATACATGTGGAATTGCTGACTTTTATGGTCCAAGAAATGTTAAGCATTCCTCTTTGAAACCACATGTAAGACTTCAATATTGTTTTAAAAAATTTTAAAAACTAATTGTCCAGCCAATGTTTAAACTGGTTTTATCCTGTATGCCATGGGATGAATTTATTTTGCATAAGATATTCGTCATCTTAAAAAACAATTCAATTTTTGCCTTTCTGTTATGTTCTTAGTTTACTTTTTTCTATATCGCCTCTTCTATCTAATGTTAACCATGTACCTAGATACTGAAAGTTCTGTACTTTTCCAAAGATTTTATTACTGACTGTAACTATACACTTAGGCACACTTCTTTTCTGTGATGTTACCATTACTTGATTCTTCTCTCTATATAAGCTGAGGCTCATTATTTCACTTTTTACAACTACTATCTCTATCAATTTATAAAGTAATAGAGCCAGATCTGGCTTATTGTAGAGAGATGTGTTTATTAGTGGCAAATGTATGAAGTTTCTACACTGATATAACAATAAGAGTTTTTGAAAGGATTGAAAAAGAGATCAGTGAAATAGTTGAAAAAAACATTAGGTGACATAATGTAAAAGGTAAAGGACCTTTTTACACACCTTCAGGCATGTTGGGCATATAATGATAGACCTATATTTGTGCAGACATATCGGCACTCGGCAGGTGATGTGGTCAATATCATGGCAGCTGCTTTTACTTCCCATAACTTCAGCTGGTACCCATTTAAGGTGGCACTGACCTGGAAGCCAAGGTCATTTTTGAAACAGTCCAGGTCCATCAGGACCTGAACCAATGACTTTTAGGATCCAAAGCTGAGCATCTAACCACTACACCAAGGTGGCTCCCATTAGGTGACATAAGTCTTATTAATACCTGGGGTAGGGGGTTGAAAGTGGGTGTGTGATAGACATGAACAAATATAAGTTGGATAACATAAGACGATAAGAGAATAATATCAAGAGATATTTGACAGCAGTTTGAGGGAGTGTGAAGAAACCAGAAATAGAGATAGACTAGTGCATCGACTGATAATGTCCTTAGCATTCCTGATATTATACATAGAGGCTGCCGTTTGACAAATTTTGACATGCTAGTTTTATTTTTCATCAGTCCTAGATTATGATCATACAAATAAGCCAGATCTGTAAAGCTGATGGCACACAACACTCCGGTTCAGGAACAAGACTAGACACCAGAGGTTGATAAACAAAGAGAACTTTCTGCCGGAGTTTACAGCTGGAGAGTGCAAATGAAAAGAAGAAGAAGATTATGATCACATAGTCTATTTTTCCTGCAATCAAGAACTTATAGAACATGCACATTGCTTTAGTACTGGCAACATCCATGATCTTTCAGATAACTCATTATTCTATTAACGGTTCACATCCTTATGTTGTCATTTTTCTAGAAAAGTTGTTGATCTAGAATGATATTATTTTAATGCTTTAGACCAACACCATTTTGCATATTAGCAGTTAACATGACAACAGACAGGAATAAAGATATACAATGGCAAGAGGATCTCAGTGGCAATGTGGTCAAGGTGTTTGCTTCTTGCTCTGAAGGTTGTAAGTTTGATTTTGGATTTCAGCCATCGGTCCATGAGTCGAGGTGTTTTAAAGATCCACGGAATGGAATGTTGTGGTTAGAGTTATGGAGTTCCTGACTGGGCAATACCCCTACAGGTGACCAGTCACTGTGTGGAGAATGATCAAGTTAGGCCAAACCTGGGACAATGAAGTCTATCCTCTTGCTTTCATATAGCCTTTAGAATAAGCTAAAAAAAATTTCATAATCAGAAAGCGGTCTTACCTGTCAACACAATAGCAAAATTAGGTATTCTAGGCCTGTCTCCATTTCTGGGAGAAAACATCTCAGTTCGCATGACACTCAGAGCTCCCGATGTGTTTGTAAGACCTGGCGTGAACCGAATGTTGTCGACTGCCTGCAGAACTTGACGTAGATTTCTGTATGTGTTTAACTGAAAGATCTGATGTACTTGGCTACTGTACACCAGCACACCCACTCTAACATTGCCTGAATTTATGTCAGTCTTGCTCAGGAAATCTTTCACAAATGCCAGTACCTGAAACAGTGACAGTCACAGCACAATTAAGTTAAGGGGAGGCAAAAGATAATAACCTTTATTGTCTCAATTTAGAAGGATTATATTTCATTTGTTGGTGTTTGTAGCTTAGGCGTTGCAAGGGCGCTTTGTAATGGCTGGGTCGATCCGTGCTGCGGACGGTTTGTCTTGTTTTGACCGTGGTACCGAGAGCCGACCATCCAGAAAGCCATGGCAAACTACTGGACGTAAATACGCCTTGAAAAACCACAACAGCCAGAAAGTCCTGGGATTGGTTCTGCAACGTCCTGTAAAGGATACTCAACTAATGAATACACATTTTATTTAAAAATTGTGGGTGGAAAAAAGAATAAACCCACTGCCACTTAAAAAGAATGCTATTAAAAAACAGACTGATGGGTCTGCTCAAATTGGACTAGCTGGGCCAAAAGGCGCTTATATTGCAGTCTGACTGTACATCAAAATACAACACAACATGAAATAACCAAAAAGCACACATCGTTAGTTAGTTAGTTAGTCAAGAAGTTATCATCATCGTACATCAGATTATTTAGCCCATAAGGGCTCAAATCTCCTCTTCAGTATCTCCCTCAGTATGTAGTGGCTTATGACACCAACTATGCGCTGGTTTACTATTCTTCTTTGGGCTACTGAGTAGTGCTCTTGTCTGGCTTCCCTTCCTGATGTTATGCTAGTGTAGTCTCGCCAGTGTTGCAGACTCACACTCATTACTTGATTTGTTTAATCCAGTTGCCTCTCTGAGGGCATTCAGTATATCAACCCTTTCCATTGCTTGTCTGTTCCCCATGTGAGCATCAGTTGCAAGTCTGTCAGCTCGCTCATTGCCCTTCACACCAGAATACCCTTGAACAAATTATGAAACTGATTTTTGTCAGCCCAGAACTATTCAGTGACTCCACCCATTGCCTTGATCTCCTTGAGCATATTTACTGAGTCGCTGAGAAAGAATGCTCGAGTGAAAGTCTATGTTCCTAATCAGGCTATCTCCACAGTCAAACGGCTTGTCGTCAAGGCGAAGGCACAACAGTCTTGTTTCATAGTACTCCCTCCGACCTGAGCTGTAAATGCCCTTGAGCTCCTGACATTTCAACTGACAGACCCGTCTGTGTAGATGATCACATCGCCCTCAAACGAATTCTCACATATCAAGGCCTGCACTTCTGCTTCCACACCTACTGGATGTTGTCTGCATTATCTGTTCAGCTTGATGCATAC